AAGTGGAGCAGCCGGGACCCGGAACCAGGCACTGCGGGTGGGAGACGCTGGCCTCACACGTGGTGGCTTGTCCCACCGTCCCACAACCCCAGCCCTTTGCTGCCTTTCCCCTCAAACAGCCCAGCACGCCAGCCCTCAGCTACACACGTGCCCTCAGCTCGATGGTTCCACATTTTGAAGTCGAATTTGCCTGCGATAAAAGCACAGATCTGGAGGTAATTGTATGTATCATGGCCTTTGTGTTCTGTTTTATTTTATTATTATTATTTTATTATTATGTCGACCCGTGGTGAAACACGCCCGGCAGGCGTCACCGTGTTTCTTGGTTTCAAGGCATGAACAGCGTTAGGACACCCAGCAGCGCTCTACCCAGCTCCGGAACCCCCCGCCCACCGCGAAGCAAGCAGGGCGTCATCCACTCCCGCGTCCACCTGACTCTGCCCAGCTCCAGAACCCCCCACCCCCACCTCCACCCCCGCGAAGCGAGCAGGGCGCCGTCCACTGCCGCGTCCACCTGACTCTGCCCAGCTCCGGAACCCCCCGCACCGCGAAGCGAGCAGGGTGCCGTCCACTGCCGCGCCCACCTGTCCAAGCTCACGCGGGCTCAGCTCCCGCACGTGCCCGCCGCCGCCTGCTGCTCGCTGTCGATGCCGTGGTGTGTAGTGACCATGCTGAGGGCGTGAGGCGCGCCTCGCGCTAGCTTTGTGCTCTTTCCCATGGCTCTCATGAGCTCACTGGCCATCGGTGTGCAGCTTTCCCGGTTTGGAATAAGCTCCCGTCGAGTTGTTCTAGCTAGTCCTCCTCAGCTCGATGACTGGCAAGGCTGGGCTGCCATTGTCACTCAGCGGAGTGTCTTCTATTGGACAAATTTTAAGCTCGTTAAGAAGTCCAGTTTGCCAGACTTCTCTTTTGCTTGACCTGGTGGCTAAGACGCTGGCGCCCCACACAGCGGTGCCTGGGCTGGGTACCAACCGGCCTCTGCTGCTGCGCGCCCATCACCCACGTGGCAGACCGGGGCTTGGGCTACCAGCCCCCGGCTGCTGCCCAGCCCAGCCCCGGCTGCTAGGAGCAAACCAGTCGGTGGCAGGGCTTCCTCTCTCTCCTCTCTTTTCAAATAAATAAATGATTTTTAAAATGATTTTATTTGTTTATCTGAGAGGCAGTGTTACAGAGACAGGGAGAGAGAGAGGTCTTCCATCCGCTGGTTTATTCCCCACAAATGGCCACAGTGGCCAGAGCTGGGCTGATCTGGAGCCGGGAGCCGGGAGCTTCCTCGGGGTCTCCCACAGATGCAGGAGCCCGAGCGCTTGGGCCATCTTCCATGGCTTTCCCAGATGATCAGCAGGCAGCTGGATCAGAAGTGGAGCAGCCAAGTCTCAAAGCGGCGCCCATATAGGATGCCAGCCTGCAGGCGGAGGCTCAGCCTACTAAGCCATGGCAGCAGCCCCAATAAATACATTTAAAAAATAAATCATTGCTAAATCCAATTTGTGAAGCTTTTACCATATATTTTCCTCTAAGAGTTTTATACGTTTGGGTCTTACATTTATGTGTGGCCCATTTTAGAATTTATTTGAGATGGAGAGAGAAAGAGAGCGGGAGAGAGAGAGAAAGCAAGTGCCCTCCGATCTACTGATCCGCTCCTCAGATGACCACAGTGGCCGGGGCTGGGCCAGACCACGCAGGAGCTGGGAACTCAACCCAGGTCTCCCACGCGAGTGGGAGGGACCGACTACTCGAGCCATCACTTGCTGCTCCCAGGGGGCACATCAGCAGGGAGCTGGAGCTGGGAATGGAGCCGGGACTCAAACCCAGGCCCTTCCATCTCAGACTTGGGTGTCCCAAACCAGCGCCTTACGCAGTGGACCACGGTTCTGCCCCTTTGGTCCATTTGAGCTAATCTTTGTGTGTGGAGTGTGCGGCGCGTGCGGTTTCGTTGTTTTGCGTGTGGATTTCTGGTTTGCTCAGCAGCATGTGTGGAAAATGCACCCCTTCCCCACCGAGGGGCATTGGTCTCGTGAGGGCGTTCCTGGGCCCTGCACGATTCCGTTGGTCTGTGTGTCTCCCGCCGGCGCCACACCGTTTGATGACTGTAGCTTTGCAGTATGTTTCGGAGGCAGGAATTGTTGGCCCTTCAGGGTGGTTCTGGATGTTTGGGGTCCCTCGAGATTGCAGATGAAGTTCCGGACGGGCTTCTCATCGAAACTGTAGGTTGCTTTGAGCAGTACCAGCACCACAAACGTGAGGCGTCTTCCTGCCTCTTTATGTCTTTCATTCTTTTTTTTTTTTTTTTTTACAGGCAGAGTGGACAGTGAGAGAGAGAGACAGAGAGAAAGGTCTTCCTTTGCCGTTGGTTCACCCTCCAATGGCCGCTGCGGCCAGCGCGCTGCTGCCGGCACACCGCGCTGATCCGATGGCAGGAGCCAGGTGCTTCTCCTGGTCTCCCATGGGGTGCAGGGCCCAAGCACTTGGGCCATCCTCCACTGCACTCCCTGGCCACAGCAGAGAGCTGGCCTGGAAGAGGGGCAACCGGGACAGAATCCGGCGCCCCGACCGGGACTAGAACCTGGTGTGCCAGCACCGCAAGGCAGAGGATTAGCCTAGTGAGCCGCGGCGCCGGCCTATGTCTTTCATTCTATGCAGCCAAGTTTTATGCCCAGCATCGTCCAGTCTTTCACCTCCCTGGCAGGGTGCTGCCTAAGTGAGGTGTTTGTGCCGTGCCGCCCCAGTGGAACTCCCTCGTCACGGAATCCCAGCCGTCTTCACAGGCAGTCAGTGGCCTGGACGGGATTCAGTCCTTATTCTAACATGTTTTCATCTATATATATATATTTTTTTTTTAAGATTTACTTATGTATTTGAAACTCAGAGTTACAGAGAGAGAGACAGAGAGATTGCACATCTGCTGGATCACTTCCCAGAGGGCTGCACTGGCTGTGGCTGAGCCAGTCCGAAGCCAGGAGCCAGGAAATCCATCCGGGTCTTCCACCTGGGTGCAGGGACCTGGGTACTCGGGCTGTCCTCCGCTGCTTTCCCAGGAACATTAGCAGGGAGCTGGATCGGCAGTGCAGCAGCCGGGAATCAAACATGTGGGGTGCCGGTCCTGCAGGCAGTGGGTTCCCCTGCTGTGCCACAGCACCGGGCCCTAACAGTTCTTTGTGTGTGGAATGTTAAGGGTTTTCTACACAAAAGTGTATCATTGGGGAACAGAGATAATTGTACTTCTTCTCTTGCAATTTGAGTGCCTCTATTTTTCTTGACTCAGTACTCTGCCTAGAACTTCCAGTGCCGCATCACAGGAGCAGGGAGTGGGCACCACGGGCTTCCCGGGCGGGACCAGTGCCTGCACCCATGGGACCCCAACTCCTTTCACAACAGGAGCACAACTTGCAGCTGGGGAAAGCTGTCCCCACCTGCCTCCCGCCCAGTCCCCGCCTGCCAGCTGCCCTGCTCCTGGTGGACAGTCTTTTTTTTTTTTTTTAATGTATTTATTTACTTCAAAGAGAGAGGGAGAGAAAGAGGGAGAGAGAAAGGGAGGGAGGGAGGGATCTTCCTTCGGCTGGCTCACTCCCCAGGTGCCCCAAGGTGGGCAGGTCTGATGCCAGGAGCCAGGAGCTTCATCCAGGTCTCCCACCCGGGTGCAGGGCCCAAGGACCAGGCCATCCTCCACTGCTTTCCCAGGCCATTAGCCAGGAGGTAGATTGGAAGTGGAGCAGCTGGGACTCGAACCAGCACCCATACGGGACGCCAGTGTCATAAGAGGTGACTTCACCCACTGCACCACAGCACCAGTCGGGCTGCACTGAACCCTGGGGTGGTGAAAGATGTGTAATAACCAGAAACCCCTTGAGCGGAAGTGGATCATGAAATTAATCCCACCCAGACGAGAGTCAAAATAAAGCCCCTGCATGGGAGAATGAGACTGTTTGTTTATTTATTTATTTATTTATTTGACAGGCAGAGTTAGACAGTGAGAGAGAGAGACAGAGAGAAAGGTCTCCCTTCCGTTGGATCACCCCCCAAATGGCCACCATGGCTGGCGCTGCACTGATCCTAAGCCAGGAGCCAGGTGCTTCCTCCTGGTCTCCCATGCGGGTGCAGGGCCCAAGGACCTGGGCCATCCTCCACTGCACTCCCAGGCCACAGCAGAGAGCTGGACTGGAAGAGGGGCAACCAGGAACCTGGCGCCCGTATGGGGTGCCGGCACCGCAGGCGGATGATTACCCAAGTGAGCCACGGCGCCAGCCCCGAGACTGTTTAAATACAGAATGTGTCTGTGCTGGGGGGCTGGTATGGCGCAACAGGTTAAGCTGACACCTGCCCTGCTGGCATCCCCTATGCGCACTGGTGCAAGTCCCAGCGGCCGCAGCTCCCTGCTAATGCGCCTGGGAAAGCAGTGGAAGATGGGCCAAGTGCCTGCGTCCTGCACCCGTGTGGGAGACCCGGATGGAGTTCCAGGCCCTGGCCTCAGCCTGGCCCAGCCCTGGCTGTTTTTGCCATTTGGGGAGTAAACCAGCGGATGGAAGATCTCTCTCTCTCTCTCTCTCTCTCTCTCTCTCTGTCTCTCCGGCTCCACAGTTCAAATAAATGAATAAAAGTCTTCAGCACAGAAATTTTCCCACTCATAATTCTGGAAGCCAGAAGCCGATGGTGAAGGAGTCAGAGCTGTGCCCCCTCAACCCCAGGAACCCCCAGGGGCCTCCTGCCTCACCCCTGCAGGTTTTCATGGCTCCTGGTAACCCCCTACCTCCCCCCGCCGGCTTGCACTGGGGATCCCACTACCCTGGGGGAGCCCACCCCGGAGTGACAGTCATGCAGGAAACAGGACGGCAGGGGGCGCTGCCCAAGGGAGCGGCAACCCCAGCCTTGGAGCCAACCCCCTCCCACGTCTCCCCAGACCCCCAGGGTAGCTGGAGGGTCTTTGGCCAGTTGCATTTTCCATGCAGCAGGGGCTGTGGCTGGGGGGGAAAGGGGGTAGGGGGAGGCATTCCCACCAGAGCTGCCCCCACCTTGTGGCCAGAGCAGAACACGCTCCTGGCAAGAATGTCCACTGCCTCAGGCCCCGCTGGACGGGTCCTGCCCAGAAGGAGCCTGCAGCCCAGGACCCTCACGGGGAGCCAGGCAGGGAGGACACAGACCTGCCGCCCCCAAGTGGCGCTGAGCGGCTCCCAGGCTCCCACAGCCTCCCCTGCCATCTGCTCCAGCTCTGCACCTTCCCGGGCCCTGGGACCACCCTCAGCACGAGCAGGGCGGGATTCCAGAGAGAGCCAACCGCCCCACCTGCTCTGTCCTGGGGGAGCCAAGGCCGAGGGCCCAGCAGGACGGCAACTCAGTCGCCCACGGGGGGACCTCCTCGTCCCTGCAAACGCATCAGCATTGCTTCCTCCCCTGCCTCTTCCTCCCCGTGATTCCCGGGAACCACCTCCCACTGCACACCTGCACCCCGTCCTGAGCCAGGCCAGCCTCTGGGGCCCATGGCAGGAGCAGCAGTGTCCAGGGCTTGTGTGGTGGGGACAGGGGAATGGGGCCTCGGGAGCATGTGCCCCCGCCCCCAGCCACCTGGAGCCAGGCCTGCGCTGCCATCTTTATCTTCCTGCCTGCACGCACTGGAGGGGGCTCTCCTGTTTCAACCAGAGCGTGACTGTCGGGGGACAGAGGTTTGGCAGTGGGGGGACTGTCTTGGGCTGGATGGACTCGGCTGAACAGAGGGAGTTGCTCATGAAGACGCTGGCTCTGCACAAACCTTAGAGTGACAGCTGGGGCGCCCACACAGGTTTATTAGCAAATGAGACACAGAGGATAGGAGCCAGGTCCACAGGCAGTCCCCACCCCAGCCCTGGGTGCCTACAGCCCCGGGGAAGGGGCTGGCGCTGGGGCACCCAGCACACCCTCATAGTTGTGGGGGGTGGGGTGGGCAGCTCATGCTGCCCACAGAACCCAGGAAGCCCAGCGCAGAGCCAGCAGCAGCAGAGTAGGGGAGGGGTCCGGCTTGGGCGCACCAGCCACCAACTTTATCCACTTGAAGTACTGGCTGACATTGGTATAGACACCGGGCCGGGTGCGTAGCCCACAGCCCACTCCCCAGTTCACGATTCCGAGCTGGTACCAGATTCCATCGCTGTCACAGACCAAGGGTCCCCCTGAGTCGCCCTGGGGAGCAACGTGGTGAGCATGGCCTGGGGCAGGGAGGAGGGGCGGGAGAGCAGGAGGGTGCAAGTTCCCCTCCCATGCAGCGGGCACGCCTCAGCTTCTGCATCTGCAAAGTGGGCCAGCAGCACCCGGGGCTGGCGTGAGGAGGAGGAGAGGACTGTGGAAGGAGGTGGTTTGCCCCCTGCCACCTGCACTGCAGGTGGGGGCGGGGAGGGGGCTGGGAGTCCGCCATTTGGGAGGGAGCGAGGTTTACTCACACCGCAGGCGTCTGCACCGCCCTCTTCCCTGCCGGCACAGATCCAGCTGTCGTGGATAGCGCCCTTGTCTGTGCGCTCGGCGGGCAGTGTGTAGAGGTGGTTGCACCAGGTGTTGTTGATGACGGCGAGCTTCACTTCCCGGAGGTTGTATGGAGGGGGTATTCCAGCTGGGGGAAGACAGAGAAGGACAGCACCCTTAGCCTGTCCTGTGCCATCAGGGGCAGGGGAGCGCGGGAGCCACAGTGCGGTCCTCGGGGATTCCCACGAGGCTGACCATCAGCAGCACGGAAGGGCCCGATGGGTGGACCTGCTGCTGGGCCCCCCCGCCCCCGTCTCCGTTCCCCATTGACACGATGATGACGGCCCTGCCTGAGGGCGCCTAGGTCTGGGTCTCGTCTCTGCTTCCGTTGCAGCTTCCTGCGAATGTGCACACGGACGGCGCAAGCCCTGGAGTCCCTGCCACTCAGTGGGAAACCCGGATCGGGTTCTGGGCTCTCGCCTTTGTCCTGGCCCAGCCCAGCTGTTGTGAGCATTTCTGAGTGAACCAGTGGGTTGGGGCGTCTGTCTCTCTGTCTCTGTTTCTCTCTTTTTCTCAGACTCTGTGTGCCTTTCAAATCAAATGAAAGAAAGAAAAGATCAGAACTCCAACACAGCTGTGGAATCCAGGACGGATCTTCCAGAATGTGATGAAAGACACGAATTCCCAGAAGCCAGAGGCGGATCAAACAGGAATACGAGAGGACGCGAGGACGCAGCGTAACCCATAACCCGAGACACAGAGGACCTTGCACACAGCGGAGGGAGGCGTCTGCTCACGCGCACGGGGACTTGAGCGAGAGCAGCAGCGGTTCCTCTCCCTCATTACGCATTTTCTGAAGGCAGAGTTGTCCTGTACAGCAGGACAGGAAATCGACAACGGGAAGCCCTCCCCCTCATCCTCAGAGCCGTCTAAACGTTGCCAGATGCCCCACTCACGTCAGAAAACAACACCGCAGTGCGGAACCGCACTGGGTGCTCCCCCGTCACGTCTCCCCCTCCCGGCAGCCTGGGACATTGCCTCAGACTTCCCGAGCTGGTACGCGCCACCATCCATTGGAAAAATTACAGGTGAGCTATTTTTTGGAATCCTTCCCCTTGGGCTTTGAATTACGCGTATTTGACTGGACGATCACAGAAAGCAATGCTTTAAATTTATTTATTTATTATCTGACAGTTAGAGTTACAGACGGAGGAAGAGACGGGGAGGGTCTCCCACGCCTGCAGCCGGCCAGAACCGGGCCAGCAGCAGCCGATTTCTGGCAGAGACCATGGGGGCCGCCGGCAGTCGGGGGAGTGGCCAGGGAGGACTGCGCTAAGAGCAGGAGCCTCGGGGGTCTGCACAGACCCCGGCTGAGGGGCTCCCACTGCCCCGCTGAAGTGGAAAATGGAGTCTTGCAGGTGGCAAGGAGAAGCATAGTGTGTAAAGAAAGAGAAGTGGTAAAGGAAACCGTCCAGATAGGCAGAAGAGCAGTCTGGCTCGCCTCTCGGTCTGTAACTGCTCTCTTTGTCCTCCGTGAGTTACACGAGACACAGAAAGCAAGCAGCAGGCCAGCGTTGTGGTGCAGCAAGTTAACCCACCACCGCCCTGTGCAAGCCCTGGCTCTGGTCCCAGCTGCTCCACTTAGGATCCAGCTCCCTGCTAACTGGCCCGGGAAGGCAGCAAAAGAGGGCCCAAGTACTTGGACCTCTGCCACCCACATGGGACTCCAGAAGCAGCTCCTGGCTCCTGGGCTTGCCCTGTGCTAGCTGTTGCAGCCATTTGGGGAGTGAGTCGGTGGATGGAAGATCTCTGCCTAGCTCCCTCTCTCTGTAACTCATAATAAATAAATGTTTTTTAAAGATTTATTTATTTATTTGAAAGTCAGAGTTACACAGAAAGAGGCAGAGAGAGAGAGAGAGAGAGAGGTCTTCCATGTGCTGGTTCACTCCCCAAAGGCCACAACAGCCAGAGCTGTGCCCATCCAAAGCCTGGGGCCAGGAGCCTCTTCCTGGTCTCCTAGCCGGGTGCAGGGCCCAAGGACTTGGGCCATCTTCTACTGCTTTCCCAGGCCATAGCAGAGAGCTGGATCGGAAGTGGAGCAGCTGGGACTTGAACCTGAGCCCATATAGGATACTGGCACTGCAGGTGGCGGCTTTACCTGCTACACCACAGTGCCAGCCCCAAATAAGTATTTTTAAAAAATCAAGCCTGAGTAGTCTACATTAACGCATGGTTTTTGCCATGCGTTGTGATGTCAGCTGTGGGGCCAGTGCTGTGGCATAGCGGGTAAAGCAGCTGCCATGTTCCAGCACCAGCCCGACTGCCGGACAACTGGCTGGGGCTACATCGTACAAAACCAGAGTGAGCCAGGGGCACACGTGGAGGGGAGGGGGTGGCACTGTTCTGAACACCCTGTTCAGAAGGCAGAAGACGGCCCAAGTCCTTGGGCCCCTGCACCCACGTGGGAGACCCAGAGGAAGCTCCTGGCCCCTGGCTTTGGATCTGGCCGTTGAGGTTATTTGGTGAGTGAACCAGCAGGTGGAAGGCCTCTCTCTCTCTCTTTCTCTCTCTCTGCTGCTGCCTCTGCCTCTGCCTCTCTGTAACTCTGACTTTCAAGAAAATAAATAAATCTATAAAAATAAAAGACGTGAGTTGTGGGGCAGAAACACACAGTGGAGGGTGCAGCTCCAGGGCACGGAGCACACGTGTGCTGCTGGGGAGGACCCGGAACCATCTCCAAGTGGATGGCGCACGGCTGGGGGGCGGGGGTTGGAGGGCCTGGGTGATCCTGCTCTTCTTCCAGGCCCACGTCCTGCTAAGGCACCCTGGGAGCCAGAGCTGAGGGTGCCAGCGCCTGGACGCAGCTCTGGGCCCCTGGTTTGAGCCCAGCCCAGCCCGGGGTGCTGTGGGCATTTGAGGAGAGAATCCGCAGGCTGAAGACCTCCCTTGGTCTACCGTCCTGTCTCTGTCATGCAAAGAAGAAAAACTAATAAGTAATTTTTTTTTGACAGGCAGAGTGGACAGTGAGAGAGAGAGAGACAGAGAGAAAGGTCTTCCTTTGCCGTTGGTTCACCCTCCAATGGCCGCCGCTGCCGGCGCACTGCAGCCAGCGCACCGCGCTGATCCGATGGCAGGAGCCAGGTACTTCTCCTGGTCTCTCATGGGGTGCAGGGCCCAAGCACGTGGGCCATCCTCCACTGCACTCCCTGGCCACAGCAGAGAGCTGGAAGAGGGACAACTGGGACAGAATCTGGCGCCCTGACCGGGACTAGAACCCGGTGTGCCGGCGCCGCAAGATTAGCCTAGTGAGCTACGGCGCCAGCCGAATAAGTACTTTTTAAAGGGCCACTTGTTGGGGTTTTGAACAAAAGCCAAGCAAGGAAGCAGAGGGCAATGGCAGGACGACGGCAACAGTGATCTGGGGGCAGTCGGAGCCGCTCTGTTGTGACTCCTCTGTGACCCTGCACAACGCACTCAGAGCGAGAGCAGAATCCGTCCAGGTGATTTCACACTGCATGAGGATTCAAACTGGGACCCTGCGACGGACGGAGACCGGGGCTGTCCAGGAGCAAAGATTTGTGTCCTCTTGAGGCTGAGGAGGTATTTGATTTAAAATGGACTGTTGAACATGCAGAAGGCGACGTGTCAGGGGCCAGCGCTGTGGCGCGGTGGGCTAAGCAGCCATCCCGGAGGGGCGCCAGTTCCCGGCCGCCCTCTTTCCAGTGCAGCTCCCTGCTAGTGCGCGGGAGAGCAGCGGAGTGCGGCTCTGTTACGGCCCTGCGCCCGTGCTGCAGGCCCAGAGGCAGCTCAGGCTCCTGGCCTGAGCCCGACCCAGCCCTGTGCCTGGCCATCTGCAGAGAGAACCAGCGGAGGGAAGATCTCTGTCTGTCTGTTTCTACCTTTTTCCTCTGTAACTCTTTCAAATAATAAACATTTTTTAAAAGATTTTTGAATTCTTATTTATTTGAAAATTTTTATTTATTTGAAAGGCAGAGTTAACAGAGAGAGGTAGAGAGAGAGAGGTCTTCCATCCACTGGTTTACTCCCCAGATGGCCGCAACAGCCGGAGCTGTGCTGATCCAAAGCCAGGAGTCTGGAGCTTCTTCCAGGTCTCCCATGTGGGTGCGGGGGCCCAAAGACTTGGGCCATCTTCTACTGCTCTCCCAGGCCATAGCAGAGAGCTGGGTCAGAAGAGGAGCAGCCGGGACTAGAACCAGAGCCCATATGGGATGCCGGTGCTTCAGGCCAGGGCTTTAACCTGCTGTGCTACATGCTGGTCCCAAATAATAAACAGTTTAAAAAGAAAAGAAGCTAACTGAAATCCACAGAACAGCAACTAAGAAAATAACTAAAGACCTGGATAAAGCTCCTGGCTTCAGCCTGGCCCAGCCCCGCTATTGGAGCCATCTGGGGAGTGAACCCGAGGTTGGAAGACCTCTCCTCTCTCTAACTCTGACTTTCAAATAAATAAATAAGTATTCAAAAATTTTAAAAAGTCTAAGACAAGACATCAGGGGTCTCCAAGAAGCCAATGGAAAACTGTGAGGAGCAACTCGGACTAGACTAAGTTACTGGAATTAAGACTTATTCTATGCATCTGCTCTCCCACAATATGGCGCTGAGAAGGGAGAAACAGCTTCTACACAGCTGCCTCCAGTTCAACCAATAAACTGTAGGACTTACTCCTGATTGGAGGAGAGCAGTGTACTCGGCGTGTGGGTAGCAGAGTTGGGATTGGTGGAAGAGGACTATAAAGGAGGAGAGAGACAACATGCACCAGGAACATCTAAGGGGAACATCTATCTGAAGGAACACCTGTGCAGCCCCCGAGAGAGCCGGCTGGCGGTGTGCCGCTCCCCCGCGGAAGTGGGGAAAGTGGCAGGGGGAACCGCCCTTCCACGGAGGTGGAAGGGACGGTAGCCAACCCGGGAAGAACCAGCAGCAAACCCGGGGAGGGCCGAGCAGACAAAAGAACAGTGCAGGGTCCTGTGTCGTTCCTCCATGAAGACGGGGAGCGACAGAAAACGTTAAGAAAGAAGCTATGTATGGAGGGACTGGCGCTGTGGCACAGTGTGTCAACACCCTGGCCTGCAGTGCCGGCATCCCATATGGGCGCTGGTTCGTGGGAGACCCAGAAGAAGCTCCTGGCTCCAGACTTTGGATCAACTGGGGAGTGAACCAGCGGATGGAAGACCTCTCTCTCTCTCTCTCTCTCTCTCTGTGCCTCTCCTCTCTCTCTGTAACTCTGACATTCAAATAAATAAATACATCTTTTTGAAAAAAACTATGGATTTCAATGTTTTGCACAAAAATATAGCTATCTTTTAATTCCGTTTTCGATGCACTTTTTGTACTACCCTTGATGCTACAAAAAAATAAGAAACAAGCCACAAGATAGTATAATTTTTGCTAGCTGGTAATGCTTCTAACATAAGTGGATTAAATGCTACTCAAAACAGGCAGAGATTGGCAAAATGGCTTAAAACACAGGCTCTCGCCATCTGCCACCAGCAAGAGACACTTTGATCCCAAGGCACCAGAGGCCGAAAGGGACCGAGTGGGAAAGGGTCCACGCGGGCAGGACCCACAGAGGCCCAGGTTGCTGAAATGACTCCACGCCGATCGACTTTAAATCAGTGCTTGTAACAAACACCAAAGAAGGGCACCTTACGTGGAGGCGACTCCCTGCGCAGACGGAGCACCTAGAAATATCTGGGTACACAACAGGCCTGCGACACAAAATCTGGTCAGAGTCACTGGTCTTCCCGGGCCACAGCAGAGAGCACACTCTTAAATGGCCGAGGCCTCGCAAAGAGTTCCCTGGCACAACTAGAAAATCCGTGGAGATGAAGGAAAAGGAGCCGCCGAGGGCAGCCGTGGCTGTCTCGGAAGGAAACCCGCAGCCGTGCAGGGCGCCACGCCTGAGGAGGGAATCGCCCGTCACGTCCCAGGGAACCGGGGAGCAACAGCGGGGCCTGGCACTGGCAGAAAGGAGGGCAGGTGGGCCGGAACCCACGGCCAGAGCACAGATTAGGGTGACCCGGCGGACACAGGGCAGGGGGAGGGGACCTTCAGAACGACTGCACACCCACAAGTGACGAGCACAGAGGAAAAGGAAATGCCACACAGACCCACGGATGGCCACGGACGGCCACGGACGGCCACGGCCCGCGCAGAAGCACAGGCTCTGCAGGAGCCCACGGTGGGGGAGAGTGGAATCAGTGCTCCGAGCGCCTCCCGGCTAAGGGCAGCTCGGGGCTCAGGCGTCGTGGAGCAGCTGCCTGGGCCTGCGTTCCTACACACGGGGAGTGAGCCGGGAAGCTCTCTCTGTCACTGTGCCTTTCCCGTAGGTGAACAACCTTTTACAAAAACTCAACATTGCTCCAGAGGAAGACGCAACAAACCAGGACTGGAGGGATCCCAACTGAGCATCTTCAAGCCCACGTAGGAAAAGCCCACAGCCAGATCACGCTCACGCGTGAGCCCGAGAGCTCTCCGTCTGCCCTCAGGAGCAGGCCGTGGCGCTTGGTCTCGTCCCGTTATTCAACACGGAACCGAGGTGCCAGCCAGGACTGGCGGACAAGAAACAGGAAAACCCCGACTGCTGGTGGATGACAGGATCCCACCGAGCAAACCCTGGGATGCAACAAAACCTGCCAGAGCTGATCAACCAGGCCGCGCCACGGTCCCGCGCTGCCCACGCAGGCTTCCAGCCAGCGCTGTGTCTGGAGGGCAGCGGCAGCCACGTGTGTGGGAGCCAGTGGAGAGACGCAGCAGGGGGACAGAGGGCTCCACGGGCCCCAGAGCCACAGAGGGGCTGCTGGCCGTGTGCGGTGGGAACAGGGTGTCCAGGACAGTGCCCGCCCCTCCCCCCCACGGCTGTCCCCGGCTCACTGCCGTTGTCTGAGATGAAGCCCCAGCCAGTGGCCCAGCAGTTGGGCTGGTTCAGGAACATGAAGGTGGAGGAGAGCACGCAGATGGGCTGGATGTAGGTGCTGTAGGTCACGTGGGAGGCCAGCTCCACCAGGGCCACGTCGTTGGACGTGCCCAGGTGGAGAGGGAAGATGACGATTTTGTTCACTCGGAATCGTGTCATCCAGGCACGGATGTTGTAGAACGGCGGCCTGTTACTCAGCTCACCCAGCTGGACTCGCCACCGCTTCACATTCTGGGTCCTGGTGCCAAACACAGCAGTCAGGCCTGGGCAGCAGCGCCACCCCCTGGGCACATGGGGCCATGCAGGGAGGTGACACTGACTGGGGGTTGCCACACCGGCCTTCCCACAAGCCACCAGCAAGTCCAGCTCACACACTGCCACCACCACGTCCAGAGCCTGGGGACCGGGAGGGGACGGGGCTTCCTCCACTCCCCCTCATCTCGTCACCGCACAGAGCTGTCCTAGGACAGGGACACTGCGCCCAGCCCTCCAGTGAGCCTCTGTGCAGCCAAAAAGGAGCTGGCAGAGGAGGCCACCAGGGTGGGCACTGGGCAGGGTGGAGGCAGCTGGGTGCCCAGCCCCCAGCCCACCTCAGCTCATGCCTCCCCCACCTTGGTCCACACCTGCTGAGGGGGAATCGGGGTGGAAGCCCACCTTGCGGTTTGTAAGGCAAAAGGACGATGCCCCCAAGGTGCATGGGATTGTTCTGAAAGAACATTCTGGAACAACATGCCCGGGGTTCCCTCCAGGGGCAGCAACAGGACCTTGAGTGGGCGTTAGAGTGCACCCCCATGACGATTCAGTATGCCTGGCCTGCACCACCTCTGCGGTGGAGATGAAAATTCAACGCCCCCCTCCACCAGAGCCCCCACTCACTTTCTGAAGCAGTGCGCGGCTGTGAGCACCCAGCGGTGGTTCAGCAAGGTGCCCCCACACACAGGGATGCTATCCCTGCGCATACTGGCCATCCACGGCCAGCGCCCACGGACCGACTCTCCCCCGCCCACGATCAGCGGTTTAATATCCTGGTGGCCACAGGGCTCTGGATGGAGAGAGAGACGCGCACTGAGGGCAGCCACAGCCCAGCCCGCCCACCCTCGCCCCGGGTTGTGAAGACCCGGGATCCCGGTAGAAGCGCGCGCCCCCGGGTCGCCCCGCTGGGGAAGGAGGTGACACCGGACCCTCCCCGCACAGCCCGCCCCGCCCCGGGGCCCGTCGGTTACTTGAGAACAGCTCGGTGTTCATGGGACCTGCAGCGGAGGAGAGGAGGGTGAGGCGTCCCGCGCACCCGCACCCCCGCACCCCCGCACCCGGCCCGGCGGCTCCGCGCAGCGCGTCCTGCGCGCCCTACCTGGCAGGAAGTCCTCTGCCCCCGATTCTGCGCGGAGAAGAGCAGGTGAGCTCCCTGGCGTCCACGCTCCCCGGCCTCCCCCCATGCCCTCGGGTCCCCCCGCGGCGACCCCAGCTCACCCGGCTCCTGGGGCTCGCCCCGCGCCAGCAGCAGCGCCAGCAGCAGCGTCCCAGCCCCCGCGCCCATGGCTGCTCTGCACCTGGGCGCCCCCTCCGCTTCCTCCCGCTCTGGCCGGGCCAGGCGCCCCCTGGGGGGAGAACAGGGGTGGGAGCCGCCAAGGCACCCAGGAGACCCTGTCCTCCCTGGACCTCGCAGGACCAAGGGCTGGCTGGGGACCTCAGGCCTCCCAGCTCCCGGGGTCCCCAGCACACTCCCTGACACCGCCCAGAACCGGGGGACCCCAACAAGCCCCTTATCACCTGCACCCCAGCGTGCTGTCCTGAGCCCCAGGAGGAAGCTGGCCTCACTTTGTCAACTGGAGGGCTCTCAGCCTCCACAGCTGCCCTCACGGGGCCCACAGGTCACGCCGCCTTCCTGGGGGGTCTAGGGGACCCACACACCCAAGGCGGCCCCTGAAGCCAGGCTGGGAATGCACAGGTGAGTCGGGCCCACCACACGGCCCAGACCTCAGAGGCTGTGGCTCAGGGTCACGGTCGCCCAGTGTAAGGACGCACGTGCTCGTCAGAGGACAGGGGGCCAGTAGAGTCCGGGAGCCCCGGCGGGGCTGTGGCTGCACACAGAGGTCCACGCTCTCGGGGTGTGGGGAGCAGTCGGCCCCCAGCACGGTGCTCAAAGGAAAGTTGTCCCTGCGCAGGCAACGGCGACCGTGGGAGGGGTCGTTCGATCCCAGGAAGCTGCCGGCCCCGAAGCAGGGTGCAGGTTCCAGACCAGGGTGAGGGCAGTGTCCAGGGTGTAGGGAGAGGGGAAGGCGCCTCCTGCTGGCCGTGGAAGCCCAGGCTTGGCCGCAGGGGCATGGTTGGGCCAGGGGAAGGCAGGCACAGAATGACAGAGCATGGGGACCGTCAGGGAGTTGCTGTCACAGAAACAGTAGCACAGGGTTCCCTCCCCAGGGCTGGGAAAGGTGGGGGAGGGTCAGTGGGCACCGGGTGAGGTTGGATGTGAGGACAATGTCCTTTTCCAAAAACATCATTCTTATTTCAAAGTTAGAGATAGGGGAATTCCATCCACTGGGCACTTCCCCAGTATCCTGCAATACCCAGGTCTGGGCCAGACCACAGCCAGCAGCCAGGAAGTGAGTCCAGGTCTCCCGTGTGGGCAGCAGCGATGCCGCTACTCAGCCCTCACTCGCTGCCTCCTGGGTGTGCAGTCCGGGAAGCTGGAAGTGGGGTGGACTTGACCCCAGGCACTCTGATAGGCGGTGCAGGCGTCCCAAGCAGCGGCTTAACCACTGTGTTACGGTGTCTGGCCTGAGGAATAGTTCCTTTCTTTCTTCTTTTTTTTTATTTTTTTATTTTATTATTTTTTTTTTTTGACAGGCAGAGTGGACAGTGAGAGAGAGAGACAGAGAGAAAGGTCTTCCTTTTGCCGTTGGTTCACCCTCCAATGGCCGCCACGGCCGGTGCGCTGAGGCCGGCGCACCGCGCTGATCCGATGGCAGGAGCCAGGAGCCAGGTGCTTTTCCTGGTCTCCCATGGGGTGCAGGGCCCAAGCACCTGGGCCATCCTCCACTGCACTCCCTGGCTACAGCAGAGAGCTGGCCTGGAAGAGGGGCAACCGGGACAGAATCCGGCGCCCCGACCGGGACTAGAACTCAGTGTGCCGGCGCCGCTAGGCGGAGGATTAGCCTAGTGAGCCGCGGCGCCGGCCTCTTCTTTTTTTTTAAGATTTATTTTATTTATTTGAAAGACAGTTACAGAGAGATGTAGAGCCAGAGAGAGAAGTCTTCCATCTGCTTATTCACTCACCAAATGGCTACAAAGACCAGACCTGAGCTGATCAGGGGCCAGGAGCCTCTTCTGGGTCTCCCATGCAGGTCCAGCGGCCCAAGCACTTGGGCCCTCTTCTGCTGCTTTCCCAGGCCACAGCAGAGAGCTGGGTCAGAAGTGGAGCAGCTGGGACTCGAACTGGTGTTCATATGGGATGTCGGTGCTGCAGGCCAGGGCGTTAACCCTCTGTGCCACAGTGCTGGACCCAAGATTGATTTAGTTGACAGGCAAAGTTACAGAGAGAGGGAGAGAGCTAGAGAGTGTCTGTTCACTGGTCCGCTCCCAAAATGGCTGCAATGTCTGTGGCTGGGTCAGACCAAAGGCAGGAACCAGGAGCTTCATCCGGGTCTCCCATGCGGGTGCAGGGGCCCACACACTTAGGTCATCCTCTGCTGCTTTCTTAGGCCATTGGCAGGGAGCTGGATCAGAGGTGGAGCAGCCGGGACTCCATCTAGCACCCACTGGGATGCCGGTCTGCCACAGCACCAGCCCCAGGGAATAACTGTTAATAGTCACAGCACAGTAGGCTAACTGCATTGGACAACTAATTGTATATTTCAAAATAGGCAATAAAGAGAATTTTGAGTATTCCCAATACAAAGAAATAAATGAGAGGACAGAATTTCCAATACCTGATCCAGTCATTATACCTATGTATTGAAATATCATGCTGGGACCAGTGCTGTGGCTCAGCAGATTAACACCCTGGCCTGAAGCGCTGGCATCCCATATGGGTGCCGATTCGAGTCCCAGCTGCTCCACTTCTGATCCAGCCCCCTGCTATGGCCTGGGAAAGCAGCAGAAGATGGCCCAAGTACTTGAGCCCCTGCACCCATGTGGGAGGCCCAGAGGAAGCTCCTGGCTCCTGGCTTTGGATCGGCGCAGCTCCAGCTGTTGCAGCTATTTGGGGAGTGAACCAGTGGATGGAAGGCCTCTTTCTCCCTCCCTCTCTCTCTCTCCCTCTCTCTCTCTCTGCCTCTCCTTCTCTTTCTGTGTGTAACTCTGACTTTCAAATAAATAAATATTTTTTAAAAAGGAATATAGCATTTTTTAAAAGATTTATTTATTTGAAAGTCAGAGTTGCACAGAGAGAGGAAAGGCCAGACCAAAGCCAGGAGCTTCCTCTGGGTCTCCCACATGGGTGCAGGGGCCCAAGGACTTGGGCCATCTTCTACTGCTTCCCCAGGCCACAGCAGAGAGCTGGATCAGAAGTGGAGCATCCAGGACTCGAACCGGCACCCATATGGGATGCAGGCGCTTCAGGCCAGGGCGTTAACCCGCTGAGCCACAGCGCCGGCCCCTCGTGCTGTATTTCTTAAACACGTATAATGAATATTGATTAAGTAAAAGGTCATCTAATGGTACCTGTATGCGCCCTTGATAGGAAAGAAAAGATCCTGAGCCGGGCGATGCGCGCAGTACCGGCGCCTGCCGCCAGGGGGCAGTCGGCGCCCAGCGCCCCTCCCGTGAAGTCCTGCGAGGGAGTTTGCGCCCGGCAGCGCCAGGCCCCGGGCGCCACACAGGGGAGGTTTCCTAATGTGCTTTAATGGGCGCCTCCTGGTTGAACATCAGGTCTTTGGTCCTGGATGGAGGCAGAGCGGCCCCCGGCGGGACGGCCAAGACCCCAGGGTGCAGACGAGAGCGTGGCCGGGGAGGCCTTCGGGCGCCCACCCTGCGCCCTCGCCCCCAGGGGGCGCCTGCCCGCGCCCGGGGCGGGAGGAAGCAGAGGGGGCGCCACGGTGCGGAGGAGGTGGCGGCGGAGGTGGCCATGGGCGCGCGAGGCCGGACGCTGCTGCTGGCGCTGGCGCTGCTGTTGGCGAGCGTGGGGCCCAAGCAGCCTGGTGAGCTCGGGGGTCGCCGCCAGCTGGACCCGAGGTGGTGAGGGGAGGGTGGGGGCTAGACGCCAAGGACACTCTTCCTTCTCGCCCCCACCCAGAGCCGCCGGAAGCGAACCTGTTGTCAGGTAAGGCGCTCGCGTGAGGGGCACGGGGGCGCCTCGCCCTTTGCTCTCCCTCGCCTCAGGGCCGGCATTTGCCCAAAGTGACTCGCCCTGGGGGAAGGGGCGGGCGCCGTCGGACCCCGTGGGGACGCGCGGGACCCCCCCTCCGCCCCCGGGGACGAGCCGAGGTGGGGTGAGCCCTCGTGCAGCTCATCCGTGGGTCTCTGGCCGTCCCAGGGCCGTGTGGCCACCAGACCATCCCCACGCGCATAGTGGGCGGAGAAGACGCGGTGCTGGGTCGCTGGCCCTGGCAAGGGAGCCTGCGCCTGTGGGGCACGCACATCTGTGGAGCGAGCCTGCTCAGCCGCCGCTGGGCGCTCACCGCGGCCCACTGCTTTCAGTCGTGAGTGGGGCGCCGGGGCGCGGGAGGGTGGGGCGCACCCGCAGGGCTGGACCCGGGCCTGCCCGTGCCTGGGGCTTGCTCCAGGCTGCGGCTGTCCCTAGAGGGAACCCTGTTCACGTTCTTCCAGAATGTTCTCCCAGACCACCCCCATACACCTTTGGGTACATTGTCCTTTTTGTTTGCCGATGAAAACAGCTTCACCTGCTGCCACCCTGATTCTGCCTCTCAGCAGTGTGGCTCCCAGGTGTGGAGGGCTGGTGTGTGCTGGTGCCCACCTCAGTGCAAGCCCTCTCGAAGGCTGGGCTCAGAGGTGCAGGACCACTGGGGGCAGCCCCAGGCTGTGGCAGTGGGTGACAGTGGGCCCGCAGGGCTTGCTGGGGGCTTCTGCGCCCCCGCAGTCAGTCTTATGTCCAGGAGCGGCCCCGCCGTGCCCTCCCGTGCAGCGCCTGACTGCGGGCTCCTCCCCTGGCAGGTCCAACGATGCCTTCGAGTTCACAGTCCAGTTTGGCGAGCTGTCTGCCAGGCCGTCCTTCTGGAACCTGCAGGCCTACTACAACCGTTACGGGGTGGACAGCATCTTCCTGAGCCCTGGCTTCAAGGGCGAGTCCCCCTATGACATCGCCTTGCTGAAGCTGTCTAGTTCCGTGGGCTATACCGACAACATCCAGCCCGTCTGCCTGCTGCCCTCCTCGGCGCAGTTCGTGAACCGGACCGACTGCTGGGTGACCGGCTGGGGCGATGTGGAAGAGGAAGAGAGTGAGGCCGGGCACGGGCAGGGCAGGGTGGGCACGGTCCAGCCGCAGAAGGCCCGGCAACACCTCCTTGGTCGGGTGTCACCGGGGCCTCTGCCCGCCTGCTGGCAGGAAGCTCACACCTGCCTTCCAGACACCGTGTGGGCCAAAGCCGTGGAAGGGAGAGGGGCCGACCTGGCCTGGCTCCGTTGCCCAGCCTGGGGGGCGGTGGGCTGGGGAGGAGGGGCATCTTCCACTCTGCCCCCCTCCCCCCACTGCGGCTCCTCCTAACCTCGGCGTCTGCCGCGGCCTGGATCCGTTGCCCAGCCTGGGAGCGGTGGGCTGGGGAAGGGGGGCAGCTCGGGTGGGGTTCCTTTCACACATCTTCCACTCTGCCCCCCTCCCCCCACTGCGGCTCCTCCTAACCTCTGCGTCTGCCCTGGCTCCGCCGACCCCCAGGAGTGCTGCGCCCACCTCTGCCTGGTGTCCAGAGCGCTCTCCCCAGAGCAGCTCCTGGTGCCCTGTGGTCCTTGGGGGTCGGGTGGTGCTAGAGAGCCACACTGAGGGGTTGCACAGGTGTGGGTCCCCGGCAGGCTCTGACACTGCCTGGTGCCTCGTGCGCTCCTTTCTTACTTGGGAGTGGGTCCTGAGGCTGCTGGCTCCACACCCAGGGGCTGCTTGGGAGACAGCCCAACAGGTGCCGCTCTGGTCTGCCAGCTTCTGCTGCCACTGAGGGGTCCCAGGTAGAGCCTGTCTCAGGGAGCTCTCGTAGCTCCCCCACCCCGGTCCCCCCGTGACACTGCTGAGCCCCTGTGATGTGGCCCCTGAGAGGAGGAGTGGGCAACAGCATGCCCTGGGACCCCCCAGCCCGACAGGTGCTGGCATCACGGCTCAGAGAAGGGTAAGGTTGCATCTCCCGCTGTCTCCCACCCTCCGACAGTCCTGCCGTATCCCTACACCCTCCAGGAAGTGCAGGTCGCCATCATCAACACCTCCATGTGTAATCACCTGTACCAGAGGACTGACTTCCGCTGGACCATCTGGGGAGACATGGTCTGCGCTGGCGATCCCCAAGGGGGCAAGGACGCCTGTTTTGTAAGTGTCACCCGCCCCCTGCCCTCCCTCGGCCCCCCAGGGCTCCTGGCGCTGAGTCCCTGCAGACCCTCACTCCATCCCCGGAGAGGCCGAGGCGGATGTGGAAGCCGAGGCTTGGCTGCTGTAGGGGGAGAGGCAGGATTTGACCCGGCCCACCCCACTCTACGCCCCGCCTCATCTCCCAGTCACTCTGCTGGCCCCAGGCTGGGCTCACCCACCGTGCTCCCCAGGGTGACTCGGGCGGACCCCTGGTGTGTGACACGGACGGCCTGTGGTATCAGATTGGAGTTGTGAGCTGGGGAATAGGCTGTGGTCGGCCCAACCGGCCCGGCGTCTACACCAACGTCACTCCCCACTTCCACTGGATCCAGCACGTGATGAACCAAAACCACACGCCCAGGCCCGGCCACTGCTCCTCGCTGCTGCTCCTGGCCCTGCTGTGTGCTCTGGGAATCCAGTAGCCCATGGGACCCTGGGCCAGCTGTGGAGTCAGGAGCTCCCCCACCCATCCCATTTCCTAATAAATGCCTTAAGTCAGGGCCTGGCAAAGCATTCCTTTGGCAGGGAGCTGTCCTGACAGCCTCATCTCCCCCTAGAGGCCCCACCCCGCCACCAACTCCCGAACTAAGCGCCAGTCCCTTTCACAGCCCACACGTTCCACGCTCTGGTTGAAACAGGAGAGCCCCCTCCAGTGCGTGCAGGCAGGAAGATAAAGATGGCAGCGCAGGCCTGGCTCCAGGTGGCTGGGGGCAGGGGCACATGCTCCCGAGGCCCCATTCCCCTGTCCCCACCACAGAAGCCCCGGACACCGCTGCTCCTGCCATGGGCCCCAGAGGCTGGCCTGGCTCAGGACGGGGTGCAGGTGTGCACTGGCCCCGGGGCACCCGGGCTCCCTGGGGTCCTGTCCCAGGGCCCCTGCTCTGTCGGGGGAATCCCAGAGCCGGGTTGCTCTCCGTTTCTTTCACGAAAGCACGTTTCATCATGCAGAAACGTCCGTGAGTCCCTCAGGTGTGGACAGGGACAGAGCTCCCCCGCCTGCCCCCAGCGCCAGCAGCGACGGCCCCGGCCCGTCTGCCCGCCCTCCACGGCGAGCCTCCGCCGTGTTCTCGGCCCCTTCACTTGCACTGCCCGTGATCACGTCTCCTCCTTCGTCCCCGGTCACCAGCCCAGCCCCCAGCTCTGTCCATCTTACTGTTCAGCCCCTGCACCACAGTGATTTATTCCAACCACAGGATTGTGTGTGAGCGACACCCGCCTCCTTCCCGCCTCTCTGCGGGCGCTTCCTGCCTCCTGCCGCCGGTGCCCTCAGCTGCTTCTCAGGGGCGCACGTCAGCGATGGCGGCCATTCTCTGCCCATGCCCCTGCGGCCATGCCTGGGCTTCCACGGCCAGCAGGAGGCGCCTTCCCCTCTCCCTACACCCTGGACACTGCCCTCACCCTGGTCTGGAACCCTGCACCCTGCTTCGGGGCCGGCAGCTTCCTGGGATCGAACGACCCCTCCCACGGTCGCCGTTGCCTGCGCAGGGACAACTTTCCTTTGAGCACCGTGCTGGGGGCCGACTGCTCCCCACACCCCGAGAGCGTGGACCTCTGTGTGCAGCCACAGCCCCGCCGGGGCTCCCGGACTCTACTGGCCCCCTGTCCTCTGACGAGCACGTGCGTCCTTACACTGGGCGACCGTGACCCTGAGCCACAGCCTCTGAGGTCTGGGCCGTGTGGTGGGCCCGACTCACCTGTGCATTCCCAGCCTGGCTTCAGGGGCCGCCTTGGGTGTGTGGGTCCCCTAGACCCCCCAGGAAGGCGGCGTGACCTGTGGGCCCCATGAGGGCAGCTGTGGAGGCTGAGAGCCCTCCAGTTGACAAAGTGAGGCCAGCTTCCTCCTGGGGCTCAGGACAGCACGCTGGGGTGCAGGTGATAAGGGGCTTGTTGGGGTCCCCCGGTTCTGGGCGGTGTCAGGGAGTGTGCTGGGGACCCCGGGAGCTGGGAGGCCTGAGGTCCCCAGCCAGCCCTTGGTCCTGCGAGGTCCAGGGAGGACAGGGTCTCCTGGGGTGCCTTGGCGGCTCCCACCCCTGTTCTCCCCCCAGGGGGCGCCTGGCCCGGCCAGAGCGGGAGGAAGCGGAGGGGGCGCCCAGGTGCAGAGCAGCCATGGGCGCGGGGGCTGGGACGCTGCTGCTGGCGCTGCTGCTGGCGCGGGGCGCACCCCAGGAGCCGGGTGAGCTGGGGTCGCCGCGGGGGGACCCGAGGGCATGGGGGGAGGCCGGGGAGCGTGGACGCCAGGGAGCTCACCTGCTCTTCTCCGCGCAGAATCGCGGATTTGGGACCCGCTGGCAGGTAGGGCGCGCAGGACGCGCTGCGCGGAGCCGCCGGGCCGGGTGCGGGGGTGCGGGTGCGCGGGACGCCTCACCCTCCTCTCCTCCCGCTGCAGGTCCCATGAACACCAGGCTGTTCTCAAGTAACCGACGGGCCCGGGGGCGGGGCGGGCTGTGCGGGGAGGGTCCGGTGTCACCTCCTTCCCCAGCGGGACGACCCGGGGCCGCGCGCTTCTACCGGGATCCCGGGTCTCCACACACCCGGGGCGAGGGTGGGCGGGCTGGGCTGTGGCTGCCCTCAGTGCGCGTCGCTCTCTCCATCCCAGAGCCCTGCGGAGAGCGGGAAAATAAGCCGCTGATCGTGGGCGGGGTGGAGTCGGTCCGCGGGCGCTGGCCCTGGATGGTCAGCCTGATTAGGGAGAAGAAACAAGTCTGTGGCGGGTCCTTGCTGAACCGCCGCTGGGTGATGTCAGCCGCGCACTGCTTCGCAAAGTGAGTGGGGGGCGCGCTGGGGGCGGGGCGAGGAAGTGCTCAGGCTGGGGCCCCCGCAGCTGGCCTCTCCTCTGGCACCAGGGCCATGGAGACCTGGAGTTCCCCACAGCCTCAAGGAGGGCCTGCACGCTCACACCCACAAGAGATTCCCTGGAGGGAACCCCGGGCATGTTGTTCCAGAATGTTCTTTCAGAACAATCCCATGCACCTTGGGGGCATCGTCCTTTTGCCTTACCAACGCAAGGTGGGCTTCCACCCCGATTCCCCCTCAACAGGTGTGGACCAAGGTGGGGGAGGCATGAGCTGAGGTGGGCTGGGGGCTGGGCACCCAGCTGCCTCCACCCTGCCCAGTGCCCACCCTGGTGGCCTCCTCTGCCAGCTCCTTTTTGGCTGCACAGAGGCTCACTGGAGGGCTGGGCGCAGTGTCCCTGTCCTAGGACAGCTCTGTGCGGTGACGAGATGAGGGGGAGGGGAGGAAGCCCTGTCCCCTCCGGGTCCCCAGGCTCTGGACGTGGTGGTGGCAGTGTGTGAGCTGGACTTGCTGGTGGCTTGTGGGAAGGCCGGTGTGGCAACCCCCAGTCAGTGTCACGTCCCTGCATAGCCCCGCTGTGCCCAGGGGGTGGCGCTGCTGCGCAGGCCTGAGAGCGCTCTCCTCTGCCAGGTACGCAGATGTGGACAGCTGGCGGGTCCAGGTGGGTCAGCTGAGGACAGGCCTCCTTTCTGCAACTTGGAGCCTGGACGAGGTGATCCGAGTGAACAAAACTCTTCCATTCCCTCTCCACCTGGGCACGGCCAATGACGTCGCTGTGGTGGAGCTGGCCTCCCGCATGACCTACAGCCCGACTGCCTGTTCTCCTCCACCTTCGTGGAACCCGACTGCTGACTGCCGGCGGGGGCTACATGTTTAAAATCTGAGTGAGCCGGGGGCACACGTGGTGGGGAGGGGCAGGCACTTCCTGAACACCCTGTTCCCGCCACAGCTGGCCCAGCAGCCCCTCTGTGGTCTCTGGGGGCCCGTGGAGCCCTCTGCCTGCCTGCTCAGCTCTCTCTGCACCTGCTTTCCTCCTCCGGCCCCCACCTGCAGGCAGGTCCTGCCTGGGGCTCCCACTGCCCTCTGCAGACCATGGCACCTGAAGCCAGGGTGGAGGGCAGCCTGGCCAGGCCTGCCGTCCCGAGCCGAGTGGCCAGGGAGGAAGTCTGGCTCTCGTGGTGCAGCAGGGATCAGAACCTCAGCACACGCAGGGAACACAGAATCAAAACCTGCACGTCCTAGGATCCGCCACATAAACGAGAAGAAAGAGCAAAGGACAGAGACAGTGGGAGAGTCCCAGAGGGGTGAGGGTCTCGCATCCGGAGGAGGACGTGGGCGGCGACTCTCTAGGAAGGCGCCCAATGGCTGAGACCCGGCTGCCAGGCAGGGCCGTGGAGAGGACCCCTATGTCATTGGGAAGAGTCGGGTAGTTCTGGTGCTGACCTCCAGGACTAGGAGCTGTGAGCTGAGCCCTGCCTGTCGTGAGGTCCCCTCCCACCTGCCCTCGAGAGTGCAAATCCCCAGTTGTGCCGGCACCGGGAGCCTGCCTCCCCCACTCTGACCCCTCCAGCCTGGCCGAGGATGGACTGGCCGCGGGGCTGCGGGGCGGTTTCTAGATGCACGCTCCACTCGTGGGTCTCTGCTTCCCACTCGCGCCAGCGCCACACGGTCGGATTCCGGGAGCTAAGCAGTGTGTTCCGCCTCAGCGATCCTGAGACCTCCCACCTGGTTCTCCTCCCCAACACTCTCGGGCGGGCTCCGCGTCGGGCCGTGCGTGCTCCACACAAACTGCAGAGTTGCCGAGGCAGGCGGCACAGAGCGCCGATGCAGGCGGGGCGGTGCTGCCTTCACCCAGCTCGGCTGGATAGCGAGCGAGCGTGCCGGCGACGTCTGTGGCTGTCTGTGTGCACAAACCTTGCTCCGCCACAATGGAACTTAGTCCACTTTATCCTGGCATCGTCTCTCTTTCCTTCTTGGAGTGTTCATTCTGCCCAGAAACGGCTCTGTGGAGACCGATCCCGCGCCGTGCACTTGCTGGGTTCGCTGAGGAGTCCAGCAGGGTTCCGAGGCCTCTGCGGGTCCCTCCTGACGCGCTCTTGTCGTGTGCACAGCTGATCCTCCTCCAGCAGATGCGGAGTGAACCTTCAGTCTGTGCTGAACACAGGGGCCAGGGCAAGCGCCCCCCGCTCTCTCCTGACGACACAGGAGGCTCTGCGACTTCTCCCATGAGCATGGTTTTAGCTGTGGGCTTTTTTACACAGACTTTAATTTATTGGATTAGTTTCCTTCTAGTCCTAGTTTGTAGAGTCTTTGTCTGAAAGAGTGTTGAATTTGTTTAAAGATTCATGCACCTGATTGGTATAGTGGCAGACGGGTCTGAGAGAGAAAGAATGAGAAGGAGACAGTGAGAGGAGCGAGAGAGCTTCCATCTGCGCGTTCTCTCCCCAGGTGACCACACCAGCAGGTCAGCATCGGAGAGGGCTGGGTGTTGTGATACAGCCGGGTAAGCCACTGCCATCAATGCCGGCATCCCACGTGGACAGTGGTTCAAGTCTCTGCTGCTTCACTTCTGATCCAGCTTCCTGCTAATGTTCCGTGGAAAGCAGCAGAAGATGGCCCAAGTGCTGGTGCCCCTGCCACCCATGTGGGAGACCTGGATGGAATTCTGGGCTCCTGGCTTTGTCTGGTTCCGGCTCCAGCTGTTGTGGCAATTTGGGTGGGGGAGGGACTAGCCGATGGAATATCCATCTCTCTGTCTCTCTCTCTCTCTCTTCTCTCTCTCTGTAACTCTGCCTTTCAAATAAATAAAATTCAATTTAAAAAGAAGCAGAGGGGTCCGTGCTGTGGTACAGTGGGTTAAAGCCCCAACCTGCTGCACCGGCATCCCATATGGGTGCCGGTTTGAGTCCTGGATACTCCACTTCCAACCCAGCTTCCTGCTAATGCACCTGGGAAAGCAATGGAGGGCACAGGGACTTGGGCTGTCCTCCACTGCTTTTCCAGGTGCATTAGCAGGGACGTGGGTTGGAAGCGGAGCAGCTGGAACTTGAACCGGTGCCCATATGGGATGCCAGCACTGCAGGCAGCATCCTAACCCACTACGGCACAGCGCCAGCACCTTGAAGGCCTCTTGATACCTGTGTCCTACACCATTTCTATTTCCTAAATTTGTGTATCAATGATAATTATTGTAAAATATTAATTGCCTTTTCATTTTCCTTTGTAATATCTTTTATATTATCTTAGTAATAGCTCTGTGGATTATGGTTTGCTTTTTTTTGAAGAAAAGAATTATTTGATAATTTGAAAGACAGAGGTGGAGACAGAGGAGAGCGAGAATTCCTGTCTACAAGTTCATCCCCAACCAGGAATGAGGCCAAAACCAGCAGCCTGGAACTCCACCCAGGCCTCCCCCATGGATGGCAGGGGCTTTCCCGGTGCATTAGCAGGGAGCTCGGCTGGAAGTGAAGCAGCCAGGACTCCTGCTGGAGTCCATGCAAGATACCAGAGTCACCGGCAGTGGCTTAGCCCACTGTGCCACAGCGCTGGCCACGTCATTAATTTCTTGAATGTATTTAGAAGTAATACCTCCTCAGCCTCAAGAGGACACAAATCTTTGCTCCTGGACAGCCCCGGTCTCCGTCCGTCGCAGGGTCCCAGTTTGAATCCTCATGCAGTGTGAAATCACCTGGACGGATTCTGCTCTCGCTCTGAGTGCGTTGTGCAGGGTCACAGAGGAGTTACAACAGAGCGGCTCCGACTGCCCCCAGATCACTGTTGCCGTCGTCCTGCCATTGCCCTCTGCTTCCTTGCTTGGCTTTTGTTCAAAACCCCAAGTGGCCCTTTAAAAAGTACTTATTCGTTTTTCTTCTTTGCATGACAGAGACAGGATGGTAGACCAAGGGAGGTCTTCAGTCTGCGGATTCTCTCCTCAAATGCCCACAGCACCCCGGGCTGGGCTGGGCTCAAACCAGGGTCCCAGAGCTGCGTCCAGGCGCTGGCACCCTCAGCTCTGGCTCCCAGGGTGCCTTAGCAGGACGTGGGCCTGGAAGAAGAGCAGGATCACCCAGGCCCTCCAACCCCCCCCCCAGCCGTGCGCCGTCCACTTGGAGATGGTTCCGGGTCCTCCCCAGCAGCACACGCGTGCTCCGTGCCCTAGAGCTGCACCCTCCACTGTGTGTTTCTGCCCCACAACTCACGTCTTTTTTTTTTTTTTTTTTTTTTAATTTGACAGGCAGAGTTAGAGAGAAAGGTCTTCCTTCTGTTGGTTCACCCCCCAAATGGCCACTACGGCTGGCGTGCTGTGCCGATCCGAAGCCAGGAGCCAGGTGCTTCCTCCTGGTCTCCCACGTGGGTGCAGGGCCCAAGCACTTGGGCCATTTTCCACTGGCTTCCCGGGCCACAGCAGAGAGCTGGACTGGAAGAGGAGCAACCGGGACAGAATCTGGCACCCATATGGGATGCCAGCACCGCAGGTGGAAGATTAACCAAGTGAGCCACGGCACCAGCCCCACGTCTTTTATTTTTATAGATTTATTTATTTTCTTGAAAGAGTTACAGAGAGGCAGAGGCAGAAGCGGAGAGAGAGAAAGGCCCTTTTTCTGCTATTTCACTCACCAAATAGCCTCAACGGCTGGAGCTGGGCTGACCCAAAGCTAGGGGACAGGAGCTTCCTCTGGGTCTCCCATGTGGGTGCAGGGGCCCAAGCACTTGGGCCATCTTCTACTGCTTTCCCAGGCCAGAGCTGGATTGGAAATGGAGCAACAGGGATTCGAACCAGTGCCCATATGTGATGCTGGCACCGCAGGCAGCTGCTTTTGCCGCGATGTCACAGTGCTGGCCCCACAACTGACATGTGAATGCATGGCAAAAACCATTAACGTAGACTACTCAGGCTTGATTTTTTAATATTTATTTGTAATCAACTTTACACGCTGCCTGCTGTACGCACATCAATCCATGATAACATGCTTTGTGCTGGCAGAAAGGAAGGCGGTGTAGACACCTGTGGTGTGAGTAACCCCGCTCCCTCCCTAATGGCATCTCCCTGCCTTCCCAGCCCCCTCCCTGCTTCGCACCCCTACATCCTAGGTTGGAGGGCCTGGCTTTGAGTCCCAGCTCCAGGACTGATTACAGCTTTCTGCTGGGAGCCAGCAGGTGATGGCCCAAGTACTTGGGTCCCTGGGCAACCTGGGTTCTGTTCCTGGCTCCTGCTTCAGCCTGGCCCAGGTGCAGCCGTTGCGGCCTTTTGGAGAGCAAACCAGCAGATAGAAGATTTCTCTGTCCCTCTTTCAAATAAATAAATCTTTTAAAAACCTATCAAGTTAGTGTTATTTTGCAAAATAAATGGCCTGTATTCTTCAAAGTGTCTCTGTCAGGAACTACAGAGAGCTCTTCCACATTAGAGGAATCTAGAAAGACATGAGAATTGAATGCAATGCACCTGTGATTTTGAAGTTTTCTTTGGCTATAAATAATGTTATTGGAACAACTGACGCTATCTTAATGAAGTCTGTAGATTATGGTATTGTTTCAAGTTACTTTCCCAATTCTGAAATTTGTACTGTGGCTATGTGATGAAATTCATTGTTCTTAGAGAACACCTACCCCTTGGGGTTGTGAATGTGCTGACTCTACAGAATGATAATTCCATAAATATTGGTAACTTGTTTACAGGAAGGGTCTCCCTGAAGGTGGTCGGGGCTTTAAAGAAACTACTGTCCCTCATTCTCCAGTCCAGAAACACCACTTCAGGCCTAGCGAGACCAAGGCCTTGCCCCTCTGCTGTGTTCCGGAGTTGTGGAGGAGTTCAAGTGGTGCTCCAGGGCGCTGGCGTGCGGCGCTAGGGCTCACATCAGCAAGCCCGGACTCTCCCTGTGTGGTCCTAGCGCTGATTTCCCTTGCGGGCTAAGTTAAAAATTCAAAATTCCGAGCTGGCATGTGGCGCAGGCGTTGAGCTGCTGGCCGCACTGCCATCATCCCAGAGAACCAGTTCCAGTCGCACTGCTCTGCGTCCCATCCAGCTCCCTGCTGATGTGCCTGGAAAAGCAACAGAAAGTGGCCCAAGCACTCAGCCCCGGCCGCTCACGTTGGAGACCCAGAGGGAGTTCCTGGCTCCGTGCTTTGGCCTGGCCATTGCGGTCACTTGGGGATTAGGGGATGGAAGACCTCCGACTCTTCCTCTGGAACTCAAATCTTTTTTTCAAGAAAATTCCTCACACACAGAGGGGCGGCAGATGCGTAATGGCGCTTCATGCCATTAGCGGCTGGGCTTCCGGAGATGACCAGTCCAAGGTCACTGTCCCTTGGCCCGGCCAGAGGTAAACCCGAGCCCGAAAAGCCCAGCCTTACAGCTCTGCTCTGAGGGGGCTTGCCGATTCTCGGGCTCAGAAAAATGGACTTTTTTTTTTTTTTTTTTTTTTTTACTTGAAAGGCAGTTAGAGAGAACGCCAGCTTTCCGTCTGCTGGGTCACTGCCCGCGGCCCAGGCCGGAGCCAGGAGCCTCATCTGGGTCTCCAGCGTGGGTGCAGGGGCGCACCCGCCGCGGCTGCTTTCCCAGGCCCACCGGCAGGGGCTGATGGAAAGTGGAGCCGCCGGCACGGGTTACCCGCCACGCCACGACGGCCGCAAAGATGGACCTGTAAAAAGGACCCGGCAATGGCACAGTGAATGATTAAGGGCGTTTCCACGAGGTATGATACATCTGGGTTCTGTATCAAACAACCGCCTTCCTGGCTGGTGCCCTCTGGTTCCAGAAAACTCTTCCTCAGGGCACCTCAAACGCCGCAGCTGCTCACGGCGGGTGAGGGCCGCCAGAACCCAACGCGGTGGGTGTTCGGCCTTTGCTTCCCGGCCTGGACCTTGTGTCGGGCTCGGGGGCGCCAGGCGTACCCGATATCTGGGGTCTGAGCACGAAAGGCTACGTGCTGTGGGGCCGCGGGCTCGCCCGGGAGGCTACGGTCACCTGGAGGCAGCAACCCTCACAAGGCTCCCGCGCTCGGCTCCCAACCTGAGGAAACAAAATGGCGACCGCGCCCCTGGACGAAGCTACATACGGGTCCCGCCGCATGCCTGAACTACAACTTCCAGAAAGCTCTGGCCGAAGGCGGGAGGCCGAGAGGCGCTAAGACGTCGCCAGGCCTTGTGCCCCGCCCCCGCCCGGGCGGTGAGCCTCGGAGACTGTCATTTCGGTCCTGCTCCCACCCCTTACTCGCGTTGGCCGACGGGACTCGTAGTCTCCCGGCAATGAAACTGACTCTCTCTTACGCCTCTAGAAACTCTACTTCCCGAAGCGAGCCCGGCGCCTGCGCACAAGGTCGCAGAGCGTACTACGGTTCCCAGCGGGCCCTGCGGCGCGGCGGCGTGCTGACGCACTTGGTCGGTCGTGCTGACGTGCAGCGCGGCCCAGGCGGGGTGCGAGTGGCGCAGTCGGAGCCCGCTGCGGCCCCTGAGGAAGCGAGGAGGCGTCGGCGTCGGGTGAGGCGGGCGGACCGGCGAGGCGCGGCGAGGCGGCGGCTCCAGGCCCCGAGGGACTCGGGCGCTCGGGCAGCGGCAAGACCTCTCCCCCTCGGAGGCGGCGGGCGGAGGCGGCGGCGGCGGCGGGTGAGAGGGCGAGGGAGCGCGCGAGCCGGGTGGGGGAGGGGCGGCGGCCGCGGCGCGAGGCCGCGGCGCGCGGAGAACGGCCCCGGCCGCCGCACGCGCACGCGCGCGCGCGCTCGCCGCCCTCAGCTCGCGCGGACGCCCTGGCTCGCTGGGCTCCCCTCCCCCTCGCGCGGTGCCCGTCGCGCGCGGGCTCCGGCGCGCCTCTCCCCGCCCCTCCCCCATAGCAACGGCGCGCGCCGCCGCCCGCGCTCGGGTTCGCGCGCGTCCTCGGCGACCGGGGAGCGCGCGCCGCTCGGCTCCTCGGCTCCCCCCACATGGGCGGCCGAGCCGGCCTCTTGGCTGCGGCTGCCCCTTTCGGCGGCGGCGACGGGAGCCCGCTCTCGGACCGTGTCCCCTGTGGCTCGTTCCGGTCGCGCCCGGGGCCCGGTGGACCGGTGTGGAGCCTTCCAGACTGCGGGGCGCCGCGCAGCCCCCTCCCCCATCCCTCCGGGCCGAAAATAGGCCTTCCTGGCCCCGGCGGCGCGGGGAGGGCCTTGACCTCGGTGGCCCGGATTTAGAGCGTTTGGACTCGCTAGTATCAGCCCTGCGGTCGGTAGGGGAGAAAAAAGCCGCAGAGCGTGGAAAGGAAAGGGAGAAGGAAAAAAATTGAGTCTACGTGAGTAAGGTAGACAACGTGGTGGGTTGGTTTGTTTTTTTCCCTTGTGGCTTTTCCACATTTCCCCAGAAGTTGCGTTAAAACTACGGAGGCTGCTTTTGGAGCCCGTGGTTGGGAGGAAAATGCCGGACTGTTTGGAGTTGCGGCTGCGCGTTTCAGGCCCCCCCGTGGCACACGACTCTGGGCGGCCTCCGTGTCCGCCTGCTCTCGCTGTGATTGCGGCTCGCACATCCCAGCTGTCGGTTCTGTCGGCTTCGCTCTTCGGACGATGGGCTCCGTCGGCTGCCGAGCTTTCTGGGTTCCCTCGCGTGTCCCCAGGCACTGCAGTGCGCCGGCGTGGAGCTGCTTCTGCTTCTGCTTCTCTGCCGCCTCCCGCAGTTCGGTCCATTTTTTAACTGAATGTCTGAATATTGTGCGATACTCTCTGATCTCATTGTTTTGGCGTTCTGATCACTGTCCAGCACAGGTAGTTCTCTTAGTCTTCCTTGGCAAAGTAACTTTGTAAGCCCTCTGTGGACCTCATTTTAAGAATAATTATTTTATCGGTTTTAGTGGTTTGCGTTGACATGGTTCCTCCTCACTGAAGTGTCTATAGCTCTGCTTTGGATGCCGTGGAGGTTTTCTTTCTTTCTTTCTTTTTCTTTTTTTATTGTTGATTCTCTACATCTTTCGAACAATGTGACAGTATCTTTGGCTTAGCAGCTACTGGTTTTCCCTCCTTAGGGAGTGGGAGGGTTTTTGTGTGAGGTGGCAGAGAAGTGTGGGTGCTTTTCTGAGGCTGAGGAATTAGTTGCAGGTCAGAAGCATTCTGCAAGGGAAGCAAAAATTCAGTGGGCTGTGCAGGTGCAAAGAGGGGCTTTTAGAGTGGGGCGAATTGGTGCTGGAAGGTGAACGCGAGGGTTGCTTTCTTGGGCTGCAGAGAAGTAGATCACTGTTCTGTTCTGCGTGTCTCCTTGCCTTTCATAGATTGAGCCTCGTGTCATCCGTTGACTCTGGTTTTGTCATCTTTTTTTGCTTTCGGTTCGTAGGACTGCTGCCTTTGGGAAGGGACCTGGTCTGTGGCTGCGCGGTGTGCAGGCTGCTGGGCTTCCTTCCCATACAGCGTCTTGGGTTTCTGTAGGCATTTGTGTTCTGCTTCTTTATTTCAGAGTTTTCTAAATGCAGCCTTCCATGCAGTGCCTCTCATTTCCCTCCGCGTTGATTAACTTCTCCATGTTGCCTTTTTCTAGGGTTTTTCCTGAGGTTAGTTTTCCCACTATCTTGGAGAGAATGGGTTGGGGAAGCTTTGTGTTTGAGAGGTCTGCAGAAGTTCATGGAAAACATAGATGATGAAAAACTTGCATGGATTTCAATTGTTTTGCGCAAAAGTTTTCAAAAAACTACTTGAGAGACAGAGCTTCCTGACAGACAGATGTTGCATTTGCTGGTTTGTTCCCCAAAGGACAGCAACAGCTGGGGCAGGGCCAGGCCAAAGCCATGGGCATGAAACTAAATCCAAGCCTCCCGGATGGGTTTCAGGGACCCAAGTGCTTGAGCCATCACCTGCTGGCTCCAGGGTGCGCATTAGCAGGGAGCTGGAACTGGAAACAGGAATTGCTGAGACTGGAACTAGGCATTCCCATACGGGATGCAGGTGTCAAAAATATGTCCCTAAGTTTTAATTTTATTTTTTGTGAACATTTGGAAGTACCCTTGTATTGCAGGAGAAAGAATCAGAGTATGTATAGCCAAGAACTGTTAACTGGAAAAACTGGGACTTGTGGGTTCTTCAGTCGTGCTGGGGTTTAGATAAGTTGAGAGAATGGAATGTGGTGAGAGGTGTGGGGTTGTTAGCACATGAGAAGGGCTTGCGAGAGAAAACAGAAGTTCAGTACAGGAGATTGGATAGGGAAAGCCAGCAGTTGGGCTTTAATAAAAGTGAGATATGGAGCGAGAAGATTTTTTAAGTTCAGAACAAGGAATCTAGAGAAATTATGGAGACAGTAGAAATAAAAGACGCTGATGTGTTTAAATAGAGCATTGAGTTAAAGACATAACATGTAACAGGAGCTAGTGAGCCTTGGAGGAGCTGCAAAGCATGTGGTAAATACTATCAGGAAGGAAATTGAAGAAGTAAACTAAGAAGATAGTTGATGGGAGCTATAAATATTTGGAATCAAGAAAATGGCTCTTTCCCTGGGAGGTGAAGTGGAGTAAGATGATGTATCCAAAGTTCGTATTTGTTTCTTATGTGCATGCTAGCTGTTAGTCTGAGTGTGAGGCTGTACCTACCACTTTGGAT